TGCCGTTTCTAAAAATAATTTTAACTAGTGGATATACGATGTGCACATCCCATAATAATCTGGTGTATCGTATAATAAATTACGATTCATCCTCCAATAAATACTGCCACGCTGTTGAGAGATTCATTTCTTCTTTAAGATTGATGCAGGTTAGTTTGCGATCTGCTTTGTAAATTTCCATCGCTTCCAAAGTTCTTAGATGTTCATGATGACGAGTGGTGCGGATGACCAGTGCCTCGTTAAAAATCGGGGTTATGTCTGGGTTTGTTGCATATGTCGACAATGCTGTCGTATATTTTTTGTGGGTGATGTCTGCTTTATGTTCCTTTATTCTAGTGACTAACGGACGTTTAGTGGATCCTATGTAAATTAGTTGCCTTTGCCATCTGTCATCCATTAAGCGAAGACAGATGGCAAAGGCATCTAAGATGAATTGTAATTTATTATACAATACACCAGATTATTATGGGATGCACACATCGTATATCCACTAGTTAAAATTATTTTTAGAAACGGCACGTGATTATAAAAATACATGAGATTATTATAAGCGCACAACATATCTCCACAAATATAAATTATAAAGAAATTATAATTCGGAAACGCACGTGATTACCTTCTTTATTTGAACTTCTAGTAACAGAGCACGTTCTTATTTAAAAATATTCGATTTAAGAATCCAGTACAATAAATTTGGCCTGAAGAAGAGCCCAGGAGGGGCATCGAAAGCGTTTGCCAATATTAGTTTGGAATTTTCACGCCGGATATTGGTTAAAGACTACACATATTTGTTGTATATGACCCAGTGTGGGAGAAATCCTTGATAAACAAATAAACTAAACCTTGACAAATCCAGCTACAAATTGAAAATGTTTTTATTTCAATAAATTTGTAACTGGATTTGTCAAGGTTTAGTATATTTAGGATTTAGTATACCAATTGTTCTAGAATGGAATTTCTTGATCTTTTTGTCATAGGGGTTAAATAAATTTCTCTTAAATTATTTTCAGATGTATAAATTTGAGCATAATACTGACATCGACACCCCAGCTTTGGCACAACTGATATCAAACATGTTATATTTCAAGCGATTCTTTCCATATTATATAAGCACTATTCTGGCTGGCTTGGACGAGAATGGTATGTTTTAATTTTTTAAAAATATTATATAAAATCTTCAGATAAATATATAAAATTACATTTGAAATGTCATTTAAAAAAAGGTAAAGGATGCGTATATCATTACGATCCCATTGGAAATTTTGAAAAAGCAATTTATAAATCTGCAGGCTCGTCTAGTGCATTGCTGCAACCTCTGCTCGATAATCAGGTATTTTGTGTATAATTTTGTGTGTGAAATGCCATTTAATAAATTATTTTTGCATAGTAGCATTAAACTCTACCTTTACAGATTGGCCGTAAAAACATCGAGGGTGGTGTCGAAACAAAACCGTCTCTTAGTGATGCTGTTACCATTATCAAAGACGTTTTTCTCTCTGCAGCAGAGCGGGACATTCACACCGGTGACGGTGTAAATTTAACAGTTATAACTCCCGATGGAATTAAAGAAGAAGTGTTTCCATTACGTCGTGACTGAACATTATTAATTTTTTTATGTTAAAAATTCCATTTATAAATAAAAACTTATTTGAAAATTTACTTTTTTATTTTTGCAATATCATATTTACTAATAAATTGAATTCCGTCTTTATATTTTCCAATTTGACAATTGAAATTCTTAATGCCTTTCTTGTTTTTCCTCCTCCTGAAATAAAATAAATTCATTAGTTTTATGTATATTTTACAATAAATGTTGTATGATAAACATTTTTGGATATTCTACTTACGATTTTTTATTTTGCTTTGAACCGAATCCCACTTTCTGGTTCTGTTCAGGGAAAAAAAATATTCTTGAATCTTTGCTATTAGTGTGCAAGTAAGGCAAGTTTTATTTGATATGGCACTAGAACCACAATGCCCAACCTGTAGCTTGTGTATTCAGATTTATCGCGTTTATTAAAAATAAAATAGTTTTAAAAATTATACATAAATTAATTTTTATTAATTTTTGTTAAGAAATTAGAAATATAAAATAACACAATTTGT